ACTTATTTTAACAACATTGTTTGAAACTGTAGTTTTACTATTTTTTATACTTATTTTAACAACATTGTTTGAAACTGTAGTTTTAGGCTTTTTGTTCTTTTAACATTTTAAAAATATATAAAATATATAATATATATAATTTATTTGAATTAATATTTTATATATTTTTAAAATAGTAAAATGATATAAAAATTAAAAAGAAAAAATACCAAAAAATATTATCAAACTAAACTTTCGTGACTTGAGTCTTTTTTCTTCTTTTTTAAACAAAGGGTTTGTAGGGCATAGAATAAAAAGTTATTATTAGGTTATAATTATGATTTTTTTTTCTTGAAAAAAGTAAAATTTTACATTGAAAAATAACTTCTGATTTTTAATTTAAAATTAATCAATAAAAGTCTAACCCATGGTATTTACAATTAAAATAAAAAATTAATTTTATTTTTTAAAAATAAAAAATAATTATTATTACATATTACTTATCTTGTGCTGGGAAAGACACAGGATAGATGTACCCTTAAACAAATACTAAATTTGTTATTACCAAAAAAAAAAAAAAATTAGTGAGGAGTCTTGACACATTAAAAAAATACAATTTCACATTAAGGCTTAAGTAACTGAGGATACAAAGTCCGAATACACATAGGCTTGCGGGAGGAAAGGCCTACCAAGATGATGGACCCAGAGTTTTTTTTCACATCCCTAATTAGGCCCACTAATGATAATCCCTTTTAGGCCCAGGGTTGGCCTTCTAAGGTCTACCGCTATTTCCCACTCCCTCGCAGTCTGTTCTGGTGTGGTTCTTGGCACTTTGGTGAGCTTATTTTTAAGAGGAAGGCAATTACTGTTAAATAATGTTAAATATTCTAATCAATACCCAAAATGGGGGTTATTACAATTACTTGAGGAAATTATTTTAAAAACAGATAATTATTTATGTATGTTAATTGAATAATAGTGTATATTTGTGGAGAACTAATTTCATTGTCTTATAAATATCAGGCTTAATTTACAGTGGCAAGATTACAAAAAAAGAATAAAAATGAGACTAGATTGTATAATCTCTAATGAGGCAAAGGTTGATTTCGTTTGGTACAGAATTGGGCCTGGTAGTTTAGATTTTAGAGAGGAAAAAAATTAAGGTTTATGTTATAATTGGGTATTTATATTTCTTTTTTTTAATACATTAGAGGGTTAATCTTTTTGACATTTTAGAAGTTTGAATTTTTGAATTTAATTTTGAATCAAAGTTTTTAAATTAGTAGATATTAATTTGATCAAATTTTTGTTGGTTGGATATTTTATATGCCTAAAATTAAAATAAAAAACTAATTAAAATGTGAATTTGTTTAATTAGTTAATTGATTAAACCAAAAATAACATTTATACTTGTAATAATAATTACTTATAAAAAAATACATTTATTATATTCTTAGAAAAACTCAAATTAAATTCCAAAAAACAAAGTTTGGTAAAGACTTGGGCCTGACAATAAGAGGCCCATACCTAAACAAGCGGTAATGGGCCTTCTTCTAGAGTCAGTAATCGTATAACTAATAATACCCAAAACCGATCCTCTACAACGTGATGGATTGAGTGGCGGCACTCTCTCCCAAAAGCGTGAACCCCTGAAGTCGACCCAAACTCCCCCTTCTCTTTACTTTAGCTCGGGGTGAGTCATACAGCTCATTATAAACTTATAAGTATTTTATTTATTTAAATAAATATTATATCTGAATTATAAAAAAATTAATAAATAATATGTATAAAAATAATATATTTAAAAATAATAAATCTAATAATAAATATAAAGATTTAAAGTTATTTATTTAATTTATTTAAGAGGTTAGTCTGCATTAGTTTTGATTTTCAAAATATAATTATAGTCTCCACTTACATCTAAAAAATAAAATTTTATTTTGTTAAATATTAATATTTTAATTTAAAAATCCATTATATATTCTAATATATGAACATTTAATAAAATAATTTTTTTACTAAACGACTTAAATAGTTAAATGGTTATTTCCTTTCGCTTGAAGTAAAAACTTTTGAATTCAAGTTGCATGGTATGCGGATGAGATGAGATAAGAGATAGCGCATGATTACCTTCCATTATGTAATCAAGATAATTTTTTTTAAATTTTGAATTAAGTTTTAATTAAATAAAATAATACAATTTAAGATTGAAACTTTAATTATTTTTGAGAGTCAAAACTGATATGTATTTTTATATAATTTATTTATTTAATACCAATAACCTATCAATTTAAGTAAAAAAAGTTCAGTTCCCTTTAAATAAGATTTCGAATTCAAATTTTATGAATGGAGAAATATATCTTAGGAGAACTTTCTCGATTATGAGTTCTAATATAATTCAATTCTAAATTAATTGCAAGTCAACGTAATTTTTGAATATTGAGATATTAATTAAAAAACTAATTTATTTAATTGATATGTTTATTTATATTTATATAATTAAAATTTTTATCTAAATTTATAATATTTAATATTTATATAATAATAATATATACCATATTCCATTTGTACTAAAAAAAATTCTCACTCCTACTTTACCCCCCATAAACATAAAATATTCTGTAGACAATTACCCTTGTTCAAAAAAAAAAAAAAAAAAAAAAAAAAAAAGAAAGAAAGAAGAATACCCGAAAGACTGGTTGGGTTGCTGAAGGGTTCATCCACGCCTGAAAAGTGAAAAGCCCCTTTCAAAACATTTTAAATCCACTGTTAAGCGTTTACAGGAATCAAGTAAATGGAATGCGAGTCATAGCTTAGCCTTTCTGGTCAGCCAGCTTGCCCTTTTTTTTTTTTTTTTATGAAAAGAGTGCGCATATTTTATTGATAAATAAGGGAAAATAGGGAAGACATGATTAGATATTGGACTTGTCCCTCATTACAAATTGCACTATAAGCTCAGGTATATCAGCAACTCGTCAGCTTCTGCTTGGATGGCCCGTTTCGCCAATTCATGAGCAACAGAGTTTCCTTCCCTTCTAATGTGTTGAAATCGACAACTAAGGAAGGAAGTCATGAGCATCTTGCTGTCAAAAATAATCAACCCCAAGGTGGAGTGCATAGAAGGAGAATCATTTTGCATGGCTGTGACGATGTTTGCACAATTTGATTCGAGAATTATCCTATCAAAAGAAAGGCCTCGAGCCCATTGTAACGCTTTATGCAGTGAACATGCCTCAACTATCTCAGTGGCCACTGCTCTTTGCCCTTTACATGCCATTGCAGCCACCACATTACCAGCATGATCATGTGCCACAACTCCCATGCCAAAGTTTTGTTGCTGACCTAATGTGGCTCCATCTGTATTGATCTTCACATGACTCATGTCAGGAGGGCTCCATCTTGTTTTACTAAACTGTTGCCCAAGTCCCACTTGCCTTACCTTTTGAGACCATTGCTTGTTTATACTCCCGCAAATAGCCCAAGCTGTGCTCTATGATGAACTGTGGATTTGTGTGCTTATCGTGCCATACTGCCTCATTTCTGCACCCCCAAATCTTTCAGCACAGGATGCACAAAAGCTCTAATTGTTTTCTTCCCAAGATAGATATCATACTGTTAATAAAAGTTGCAAAATTATCAACATGAAGCTCTGACACTAGGAGACTAAGAGGGCATCCTAACCAAGTTGCTCTCGCAGTGGGGTAGTACACAAAACAATGCAATATAGACTCAGGCTCCAGACCACACACAGGGCATAGCAAGTCAGTCTCAACTTATTGTCGGTGAAGATTATCCTTAGTTGGGAGCACACCCCTACAAGCTTGCCATATTAAAAGACGCACCTTTTCAGGAGCATCAGCATCCCCCTCCAACATTGCCTAAAGACACAGAGGGGCCAACGTGACTACTCCTCATCTCCAAGGCATAGTGGTACCCAGTTTGGACAGAGAAGACACCGTTCCTTGTAAAATTCCAAGTCCACCCATCATTCCGCCACGTCCAGCTGAGAGGTATAGACAAAATCAGAGCAGCTTCATAAGCATTAAAGGTATGCAAAATCAGATCTTGGTTCCATGTATGAGTGGCTTCATCTATGAGATTCGTAACATAATGGAGAGTACAAGAGCTAGGTCGAGGAGATTGAACGTAAAAGTGTGTGTTCTCGAGAAGCCATGGATCCCCCCATACCTTGATCGTTCGACCATCTCTAATTAACTTCCTACAACCTTACATTAATAGTGAGATAGAGCACCAGATACTCTGCCAAGTTAGGCTACAAGCAAGTTTTAGCTCTGCGTGAAATAGATTTGAATGAGGAAAATACTTTGCTTTCAACAATCGGACCACCAAAGAATCTGGATTCACGAGCAATCTCCAACTTTGCTTGCAGAGCATCGTAAGATTAAATTCATGAAGGGAGCAGAAGCCCAAACCGCTGTCCCTTTTCGAAGTGGCTAGTTTCCTCCATTCCAATCAGTGAGTCTTATGCTTGTACATTCCCCCACCCCACCAATATCAGCTCATAATCCTTTCTAAATCTGTACAGAGACTCTGAGGGGGTAGAAATAAGCTCATGACATAAGTTGGGAGAGCTTGTAACATTGATTTGATCAGCACCTCCCTACCTGCTCTAGAGAGGGGTTGCTCCCTCCATTCACCAACTTTATGCCAAAATTTTGACTTCAGGCCCGAGAATACTGTAGTTCTATTTCTACCCACAAAGATAAGAAGACCGAGATATCGCCCTGGTTGGGTGCTCGCATTCATACAAAGTATCTAGGAGATGGCATCTTGAGTTCTTTGTGGCACATTACTACTAAAAATCACTGAGGACTTTTGCACATTAGTCACCTTACCAGAGGCCGCTTCATACTTTTGAAGGATCAACATTAGATTCATAGACTCTGTTTCAGTTGCTCGAAGAAAAAGGAAGCTATCACCTACAAAGAAAAGATGGGAGATAGTGAGAGCTTGTCTGCATATTTTAATCCCATGTAACAACTTTCGTTCCTCCGCATCTTGATCATTGCTGTAAGGCCTTCTACAAATAAGATGAATAAGTATGGAGACAGAGGGTCTCCTTGTCTTAAGCCCCGATTTGGGATGACTTGCCTAACATCCGCACCATTGAGCAGAATATTATACTGAACTGAAGAGACATAGCCCATTATTAAAATATCCAGCAATCTGTGAAACCTAGAGCCCTCATAACAGCTTCTAAGTGTGGTCATTCAACTCTATCAAAGGCTTTGCTCATGTCTAGCTTTATTGCCTACCAACTCTTCTTCCTACACTTTCTAGCACGCATGAAATGGAGAACTTCATAAGCAATCAAGAAATTATCAGTAATGAGCCTATTTGTAGGAATGCACTCTGTTCTAGAGAGATAACCTTTGGTAGCACCTACTTTAGCCTATTCACCAGAGTCTTTGCAAGAACTCTATAGATTGCATTACACAAACTAATTGGACGGAGATTAGTCATGGTCTTTGGTTCATTACATTTCGGAATGAGAACAATGTTTGTAAGATTTAGCTCTTGCAATAAAGCCACCCCATGGTTTAAGTATTGCAAACATGAAGTAATCACATCCTTTTTCACTATGCTACAAAAATTTTGAAAGAAAAGTGGTGTTAGGCCATCAGGGCCTGGTGCTTTTGACAGATGCATTTGAAATAATGCTTTAACAAGTTCCTCCTCAATAAAATCATGCAGTAAATAGCCATTCTCCTTTGCTCTAACTCGTGATGACATCGATATTCGAGGGACGTGTAGACTCAAAGATTTGTGTAAAATATCCCATAACAATATCTCGTAGCTCAGCTAAATTAGTAGTCCATTCCCCCTGATCTGTCAATAGCTTTTGTATCTTGTTCCGTGCCATGCGTTGAGATGCTCTATTGTGAAAAAACTGGGTGTTTCTATCCCTTTCTTGAATCCATATTTCTCGTGACCGTTGTCTCCACATTACTTCTTCTCGCTCAAGCCATTCCTCCATTTCAGTAAGTATTCACTGCTCTTCATGGCATGCGACTTTAGGGTCAGGACAATGGCTCAAAGCTTCTAGGCTTTGAGAACACTGCTCAAGGTGCTTCTTGACACTCCCAAAATGTTGTGAATTACAGGATTCAAGGCCTATTGAACAAGCTTTCACTTTTTGTAGAAGGCTAAGCCAGTCACCTGCTCCATTAACAAAAAGCCAACTATTTCAAATTATCTCTTGACAGCTAGCATCCCGTAGCCACATCTCCTCAAAGCAAAACTTCTTTTTATGCCTATTTCACTTGTCCTGACGCCCATTTATAGTAAGCCAAAGAGGGTTATGATATGATGATAACGGCGATAGCAATCGAACTTGAGCATTGGGGAATAAGCAGTTCCATAAAAACCTATGCTTAGGTATAGTTTGTTTTTAAAATATTAATTTTATTTAATTAATAATTAATAATTAATAATTAATAAAATATTTAATATTTATTAATTAATAAATTAAAATTAATTACCAAAATAATATTTTAAATTTTATTTAAGAAAAAAAAAATCAAAATCATTAATTAGTATTATTAATTCAAAATATTTAATATTTATTAATTAATAACTTAAAATTAATTAGCAAAATAATATTTAAAATTTTATTTAAGAAAAAAAAAATCA